TTTTTCAACACTAAGACTCGTTTACCTGTTTATGATTTATCTCAAAGAATGTCAGCAAATTTCATTAACTCGACATTTATATCCATAATAAAAGGTAACTCTTTGTCAGTGGAGTAATACGGCCATACACAATACAAGTGATCATCCTATTCGAAAACACATAGTGCAAGTTACATGTCTAGTTTCCTTTTATTATTTAAAAAACGTTGCTCTGGCAAGTCGATGTTGCCATCAACCCGCTCATTTTCGTCATCGCAGCATGTATTTGATCAGAGTTGATCATTTACCTCTTGGTAAGTTGTAATAAGCAACTTTTCTTGTAGACGTCTAGTGCACGACATCTTCGTTGTCTTTACACATACTATGTTAGAAAGATAGAATGCAAAAGTGAAATGTGTAAGAACAGAAGAAATATCGTGCTCTGCATAGAGACGAGAAAGTTTTCTTTTTGCAACTTACCAAGAGATATCTTTTAAATCATTATGGCTTTATCATCGAAAACTCCATTGAAATTAGTTATCGATACCGATCCCGGTATTGATGACTGTCATGCAATAATGATGGCTCTATCATGTCCAAATGTCGAAATTCTTGGTATAACTGTTGTCACTGGCAATGCATCATTAGTTAATGGTGTTCGTAATATTCATTATCTTTTACATACATACAATCGAAAAGATATTCCTGTTTTTCGTGGAGCTGATCGAGCACTAGATGGTCGTCAAAAGTATGCTCCATTTGTTCATGGTGAAGATGGTTTTGGTAATGCAACAAAAGATAAAACAATTGATTTAGATTTATTAAGTAATGAACCAGCAGCTGTAGCTCTTGTACGTTTAGCACGAGAAAATCGTGGTGAACTTGTTATAGCTGCTATAGGACCATTAACAAATTTATTTCTTGCACATCGACTTGATCCTGAATTTAGTCGAAATTTAAAATATCTTTATATAATGGGTGGAAATTGTACAGTACCACGATTTGATACACTTTCAAGTAAATAGAAAAAATAAATTCTTATTGAACTATTTTATTTTTATTTTATTATTTTATTTTTTCCTTTGTTTGTTAGTTGGTATCGAATTTAATTTTGCTAGTGATGCATTAGCTGCTTCAAGAGTTCTTGAAGAATTTGAAACAATATTAAGAATAATAACATTTGAATTAACATGTATGGTAACAATACCATATGATATACTTGATAAAGAATTTCTTGCATTAAAAGAAAATCCAAATAATCAAAAAGCTCGTCTATTTGCTGAAGTTACTCAATTTTTAATTGATTTTACAAAAACATCAGAAAATAATCCTGAACTCTATGTAGGATTAAATTCATGGGATTCAGTTTGTATGGCTTGTATATTAGATGAATCAATTATAGAGGAAAAAAAACATGTTTATGCATGTGTTGAACCATTTGGAAAACTCGCTTCTGGTCATATGATATCCGATTGGTACGGTCATTTTAAACGTGAATCGAATGTTGAAATTATTACCAATGTTAATAAAGAAAAATTTCTTAAACTTTTTCGATTATGTGTTCAAGAATGATTCAAAACTTTATCTTTCTTTTTAGAATATCAATACACTTATCATCAAAATAAACATTAGATGATATATTAGAATTGTTTTTTATCTACATAGACTTTTCTCATATATATGATTTTATAAGTAGACAAAAAGATAACATAAGAATAAACATAAAATGATAATTTTCACAGATCGGTGACAATGTTTTTTTTTCTCTATGATATGTCGAGATTATCAGCGGGATTCAATATCGACTATGTTAAGGATATATTCTTATGAGAGCTTTGAATGATAAAAAAGAACATTATATGAATGGTTGTTCTTCAATTGAAACATTAATTTTTATTTGAATGTAATCGTACGATTAGTATTAGCTAGATCGGGAGAGTGTACAACCTTCAGTCGTGAAAAGTTTTTATTTTTTCCCAACAGAACTGAAATTCTCTTGTTGCATTCTCTTACAAGAATGATATATATATCTGTTTGCAAAAAATCGTGATAATCCTTCAATATTGACTGCTGCGGATTTCTACTAAATACGGTTTCTATTACGATTTTGCAAAGGATCATTTATTTATTCTAACGTTATTTTTTCACGAAATACAGTTGTTTATCAAATTACTAGATGTTTATATTGAAGGATTTTCTATAAATGTCAATCTTTTATATACAATAGTGTTTTACGTGAGATTTTGTTCACTCTTGAATTAATGATATAATCATTGGTGGAATACATCAATTGCCACCCTATCATCAAAAGAAAGAAAATTGTAATCATAACCATCATGGACACCATATTGCATAGATTTTTCCCAAGATCGTAGGGTGCCATCCTACCATATACGATTTCTTGATTATGCCACTATCTTGAATTTTTGTTTTTATTAGTCGTCAATAATGAATAATATTTTCTTTTATGTATAAGTGATTGATGAATTGGAAATAAAATTCAAAAGCATGAACGAATCAAATTTGATTAGCATACATCAACGAAAAATACTCGATTTTGTCAAGTGTGTCACGAACAGGGAGGAGGATCACTGGGTCCAATCCTTGGAAATTTTCCGTTTTTTCCTAACAAAATTGGACTATTTTCTTCACCAATGATCGTAACAAATGTGGACTCCTCCCTTCATATCGTGAATCCTATTTTTTCAGTAGGAGTGCCCCACCAAACTTGATAACCTCAAGGCATCCCTCTCTATTGTCTGATTCTGACTTGTCAATCAAACATTTCAAATTTTATGCGTGTCACCGAACGTTAATATTGAGTCTTATTTCTAATTTGTTCAATCGATACAATTTATAAATACTCATCTTCCTAATTATCAATACAACTCAAAAAAAAAAAGAACAGACATAAATTCGTTCATCGTTCAATAATTTGAAAGTATAAAAAATAAATTGGTCATTTATGTTGTTTGCTAATCGATTAATATAGGTAACTTTCTTAATGTATTGTGACCTTTCATCACTCAAAAATCCATCTATCTTATATTTTCTTTTTCTCATCATCGTCATATTATTTTCGTTCTACATCTTTTTCTCTCGTAGCATATCGACAACATTCATCCAATCGATAGACTACTACCATCACCACCATCATCATCATCATCTGCCCTTTGTCAGTATATGCTTGATTCGACCACATGCATACATATGTGTATATATATGTATAACTGTTCGACGTTCGATAGAGAGAAAAATAGACAGGACACACGAGCCATACTGACGGACTGTTTTTTTAGTTTGCCCTTCTGTTCTGTCTGAGTTAGATGTTGTGTACAAAGAAAGAAAAAGTGGATATCTCGTAGAATAACAACAATTATAATCAACTTTTATTTGGAATACATCAACGATATATATAAAGTCTTTGTTTTTCTTTTGCTATTTTTTAGAATATAATGATGAATATTAGTATCTTTTTATTATTAATTACATTTGTTAATAGTCAAACACATGATTTATTTTCGAATTTACCTATGATTGGACCATCAAGTAGTAATACACTTGATCAATGTGTTGAAATACAGCATGGACGTATATGTGCATCAATGCCATGGAATACGACAATTTTTCCTAATCTTCGTGGACATATTCGAGTAGACGGTGAAATCTTTTGAAAAAAACAAAAAACCAAATTCTTTTATTTTTCATTTTATAGAAGCTGAACTTGAATTGGCACTCTATGTTCCATTATTTAATAGAAATTGTTCGAATTCTATCAAATATTTTCTATGTAGTATTTATACACCAATATGCTCACCATTACCAACAAGTACGATTTTATTCTTTATCATAAAAGAAAAAAAAACATTAATATTTCCACCCTTAACATCTAATCGATTAGATTTGAATATTGTTCAATGTACTTCATATATACTAACACTAGTGTTCCCTGAAGCATTGGAATCAAAAGAGTAAAAGGATGCCTATTTTCATAGAGTGGATATTTTCAATGTTGCAGCGAACGCGGATGTCTGTATTTAAATCATTACTGTATGGTACTAATTTTGGAAATATTTTCTTTTATGACTAAATCTGAAGTTTAACAAAGAAATTTTTGTATCTATTTTAAAGTATTTGTTTTTAGTAAGTGCTGTTAAACCATGTCGACATTTATGTGAACAAGCTCGTCGTGGTTGTGAACCTACAATGAACAGTTTTGGTTATCCATGGCCAGAACACTTTCGTTGTGCACAATATCCTATTGATCAACCATGTTTTGAAGCACCAAAAGATCATAAACAACAAATGTCAAGAAAATATGATGATGATTTGAATAATGGATGTTCATATCAATATCGTACCAATTATCCTGATTATAAATATAAATTAGATTATAGTTTAAATTGTGCTATGCCATGTAATCGTAGTTTATTTACAACTGAACAAGTTTATTTTGTTCGTCATTATGTTGGTATATTAGCAATATTATGTTTATTATCAACATTATTTACAATAACGACGTATTCAATTGATTTATCACGTTATCGTTATCCGGAACGACCAATATTATTTTTATCAATATGTTATTTTATTCTTGCATGTGCATATGTTGGTGGTTTTGTTGATTATTTTTATGGTTCAAATATTGTTTGTAATACAGAAGATGTATCTTATACGGGACAAACAAGATTTCTTGTACAAGGTACACATAATAAATTATGTGTATTAACATTTTTACTTGTTTATTATTTTGGTATGGCATCAATGATATGGTGGGTTATATTAACATTAACATGGTTTTTAGCTGCTGGTTTAAAATGGGGCCATGAAGCAATTGAATCTCAATCAATTTATTTTCATCTTGCATCATGGGGTATACCAGCTTGTTTAAGTGTTGCATTAATAAGTAAACATTCAATTGATGGTGATTATTTAACAGGTATTTGTTATACGGGTTTAACGGAAACAAATGTTCAACGTGGTTTTATTCTTGTACCACTATGTATATTTTTATTTGTTGGTTTATGTTTTCTTTTAAGTGGTTTTATATCTGTATTTAAAATTCGTACAGTTATGAAACATGAAGGTACTAAAACTGATAAACTTGAACGTTTTATGGTACGTATTGGTACATTTAGTGTTGTTTATATTATACCACAATTCATATTAATAATATGTTTATCCTATGAACAAAATAATTATTTAAATTGGTTACAAACATGGAAACATGAAGAAAATTTTTGTTTCTATTCTATTGATTGTCAATTAAATGATAATAAAAAAGTTCGACCACGTTATGAATTATTTATGATTAAATATACCTGTATGTTAGCTATTGGTATAATATCATCAGGTTGGGTTTTAAATGGTAAAACGATGATATCATGGAGAAATTTTTTTTCACGACAACGACGAAGTTCAGTATCAGAACTTTTGTAATTATTTATATTCTCTGGTTTTCATGTAGCAAAAAAAACCTGTTCTCTTTGCCTGTGTTCAATTAATGTAAATAGAAACAACAACAAAAAAAATATGTGTGAAATTTCAATAAATACTGCAGATAAAACATTTTGTATGTTAAACACAAAATAAAAATATTAGTCAATCTAAGTTTTTTTTTAAAAATAAATATTGAATATACATAACTGACATAAAAGGACTTTCTTTTTATTCTTCATTCTCACTTAACTAGTCTAGCAACTTATCAGCACATGAACACCAAATATTTACCAAACGAGAACAAAGAGTATTGTTATTCTTCATGATCTCTTTTTCATTTTCTTTAGACAAACATTTGAAAAAATGGCCTGCAGGCAGTTTACGCTACAAAAGCACAAAATATTGTTTACGATAATCTTTGCTTTTCTGATTAATTCTTAAAGTAAGTCAATTGATTCAATTCTGTTTTGAATACCGTGAAAAGTAATTTATATACTTAATTTTTCAATAATCACTAAGCTCAACGAAGAACTTGTGTACTTTGTATTAATTGTCAACATGTATACGATAGTACAAATATGAATTCGACACACAGTAAAATCTCGACATTATGAACATCGTCGAGATCAACAAACATCATTCAATATAATCGAATGTTCATAAAGGAGAGAATAAATAGAGCAAAATATCAGTTTTATCGATTTCTATCTGCTTTTAAGTACTTTCTATTAATTCATTAAATAGTTTTTCACTTTTAGTAATTGAAATATTTTAACTAAATGAATTTTAAACATCACATCGAGATCTTGCCTAATCATGTTCAGACACTATTACTGATGGCTTAACTAAAATCATGATTCATCATATGCTTCACCTTTTTGTTTGAGAATAGCTAACAGAGCACCCATGAACATTTAAAATTTATCTCATTATTCACAATGAGACAAACCACATTGTTTGTTTTTAATCAAAAGTATTTTTTTTCTCTAAATTAAGAGCATTCCGAGATATTATACCTCATAGACAGGTTAACAAGTTGTAGAAAACAAGAATGATATCCGTTTGTTCATTCTATTTCTTTTTTCGCGTTCTCAGAATTTATTATATAGCTAGCTAATTTCTTAATAATCACTTCCATAGTTTCCATCATAGAATTTATTTAAGTGATATCGTCTATTGATGTTCATATTGACAAGGTGAATAAATACAGAGAGGACCAAAAAAAGTGTTCACATTCAGACTCAAAAGACGTTCTCTAAGCGAGATTTTACTGTGTCTGTTAATAAACGAAATAGATCGAATTCAATTGAGTTTGTACTTGATTCAATTGAAACTTCATATCTATTGTAGAAATCAGAAAGTATCTCTTTTTCAGATTTTTATTTTGTTGACATGCTACTTATTTCATTGTATATGTTGTTTGATTAGCATAAAGAATCGAACTATTGGCCGCTGTATTTTCCTGATGTTTGATTATATTCATTACACGATCTACTAATTCATTCGTTTAATCTTAAAATTTCTGTGATTCTTTACAAAATTTCATAAAAACAAAAATAATCGTCAGGAATAATTTTGCAATAATTGAGATTGGGATTATTTTATTAGAAATTCTTCTCGATGAAAAACGTCAAGGTTTCAATTATATTTAACTTCAAAATTAAAGCGGAGATTTATCTTACAATGGAAGTCCTCCAACTGATTAATCACTTTTGATTCGAGTTTATATGCTTCATGTAGATCCTAACGAGTTATGAATATACTGCAAATAGTTCGGGTTCTTAGCTTATTACTACCGAGATACTGAATTTTTATGGTGGCCTTTTAGTTAATGCTGTGATCTCTCTCACGAACACTAAGAAAACTTATTATCGACTTTCGACTTGAAACTTTCCATAGAGATTGTACTCATCGGGAATAGTTTATTGTGAAAGTTTCAGACATTTTCGTTATTCCGATTCTAAGATACAGCTATGATAAAAACTTATCCTTTACACTGCTCATATACACCAGTAGAGTTGATGTTCTTATTTCAGGAAAGAAGTAAATCAAAAGATCTGAAACTTTCAGAATAAACTATTCTCATTAAGATCTGCCTCAGTACAAATGTTCAAATCGAAATTCAAAAACGAATTTTTCTAGTGTTTCCAAGGAGTAAGTTCGATGGTTTCAAAAATAATCCCAAACCGGAAGCGTTAAATCATCAGACAGATACGAAAATCTTTAATATATATTTTGAGAAATTTTCACTGTTGAATTGCTATCATATTCGATTCGTTTCATGGTTTCAACGTATTTTTTTCCACAGTTCTGATCTCGATTCCTGTTTTTTTGTAACCGTAGAATTCTACTGAAGGAGATCACAGTGTTGACTTTAAAGAGTCATGAAGATTTGAAACTATATCTATGCATGAATTATTCAGATCAGATATTTTAAAAACTAAAACTCATGCTGATCATCATTCGATTCACTTTATTGATGAATTATTTTCAATAATTTCCTATTGTTAATGTTTTTTTATTGATCTTAAGTTAATATTTACAAGTTTCATTCAAACTATATCTCTTTTCATGATTATCATCAACTGTACAAAATAAAAACGTATAAAAATTAAATAACAATCGAGATTACAAAATAACAAGTGTTCATTTTTAAAGGTTTGGTAAATTAGCGATTGGACATTTAAATACAAAATCAGCTGGAAATAAGTTAGCAGCATGGGGTAACATAATTCTATATACATTTCGTATTACACCTTCGGAAACACCAGTTGGTTTTTGAATATCTATAAAAAAGAACAATAAATTTTCATACTTTTTTCTTTAATAAAAATAATATTTTTCTAACCTTTCTTTGTTATCTGTTCACTTGCAGCTAAACAAGCCATATAAATTGCTGCACTAGCAATAGAACTTGGTGCACGACCTTGGATATTACAAACTTCATTAGCACGTTCAACGATATGAATAGCTGTTTTTCGTATAAGATTTTCTTGTTCAAGTTGAAGTTGATTACAGAAACGAGGCTTTTCAAAAGAAAAAGAAAAATAAAAATAAAAATAAATGAATTATCAAATCCAAAAGAAAAACATACCACCAAATTTTTTATATCAATTGATTGAATTGCAGCTGGATTTGATAAAGAACGTTTCATTTTACTAAAACATCGACCAAGTTCTTTTACTGATACCATTGAAATATCACAAATTTCTATATAGAATAAGAAAAAAAAATTTTATTCGTAATAATAAATAAATAAATCAATCTTACTAACCTTTCATGGTACGTGGCGAACCTTCTTGTCGACAAGCACTATAGATACATGAAGCAATAGGTGTTTCTGATGAATAGCCACGTAAACATTTTTTTTCATAACACTGTTTATATATTATTAATGCTCGATCAATAATTTTCTTTGCTAAATGCATGCGCGTAGCCATAGCTCGAATAGCATCATGACCATTTCGTAATGCTTTATCCGCAGATGATATCTGCATATTTAGCCAATGAGAAATACTTCTTTTCTTAGAAAAGAAATATTACCTGACTTGTTTTCTTGCTATATTTTTGTTGTCCTAATTCATTAAGTGCACCTGCACCTGTTCCTGTTGATATCGTAGTTATAAAATTATCATAATCGTATAGTAGACTTTGAGCACCACCAACACGGCTCCTATCTTTTGAGTTTGATTCATCTCCAAACTCACGCCATTCAGCACTGACATCGATCATTCTAAAAATATGAAAGTATTTTTTAATATCAAACAAACTTCTTTGTATAAGTATATCAAAGTTTAGTAAAGAAGAGAACTGGAAAGGTTATGTTTATATCCTATTCTTCAGATGTCGTTAAGATCATTGAATAAGAAAACAAAATGAAACAATTTTCTTCCTGTTTTTCTCAATAGATAATATCGAATTAGTTCGACTCTCAAAATTTAACAATCATCAATCGATTTACTTAAGATCAAAATATAGGATTTATTCTCTATGATATGTAAATTTTATTCCTCTTTTTCTTTATCGCACAAGCTAGACTCTAGAGAATGATGGATATGTAGATTGAGCTCTAATGGAAAAGTCTATCAGCTATAAATAACAAAAATGAAATATTAACATTGAAAGATGTAGAAAGAAAAGGTACAAACGAAGAGATAGAGATGTGCAGACAATGTTTTTTTTCACATCCTGTGCTCTAACTAAGAAAAGTTTTAGAATCTCTGCCCTACTAAACCCTATAGAAAATTTATCCTTATCTTATCCTACGGAGTCAGTATCATTCTCACTTTCTACTACTCTAATTAGAAGACTAAAAGTGATAAATAGCAAGATAGTAGTCCGACAGAGATGTGCAAGGTAAGTTTTTTCAGTATCTTGCACCTTAACTGTGGAAAATTTTGTAATTCTTATGCGATTCTATTCTGCAGAGTAGAGTAGGGTAATCCTGCACATCTATATAAAGAGACACTATATTGACGTCTATAACTATATCTGGAACGATAAGAACTGGTATATCTTGCCGTTCGAGTTATGATCAATATATCGACTGTGCGACCTATTTTCAACTTAATCACTACATATATATTGGTAAAACAACGCTTAAGATCTTTCAAGTATTCCAGACAAAGCAAATACTCCTTTTTGGATATATTGTCTTCACTAAAGTTCTCAATAAATTATAGAGAAAAATCGAATTTTTAAGTTACTCTCTTTCCAATCGGTCTACACCAAAATAACAGGCAATATGTTACAAGACAGTCAGTTTCATAAAAAAAAACATAGAGAGAGAGTATGTAACTTTTCTTCTTCAGTCTATTCTCAATCTCTGTAATTCTTCGATATCATAAAAGCTCTAAAATTATTTTCATAAAATAATCCTACCGTTCGCCTACAACAAGGCCACATTGTGAACAAATCATATCGCCTGCTCTATAATCTTCAATGAGCACAGCGGCTGGATGAAATCGACATGCTAAGATTTGCGTACATCTAATTAAATAAAAACATTGAGAACAACTATTGTTTTTTCATTAAAAATAACATACCGAGACATTGTTTGTATTTAAATAATAAATAAATATATATATATCTATAATAGAAAGAAAAGAAATTAAATAAGCATATTTATATCATGTTAATCTTTTTTTCTCTCTCTCTCTCTCTCTCTACATATATTTCTTGTAATCATCGAAAAAGCTATTTCAGATTTTCGGTACAATATACAAAAGGAAAAACAAACAAACTATGATAAAGACAAGTTTTATGCACGCAAAAAATAATGAAATAACGAAAAAAAAATAAAAATTAAACAAATAAAGTTTATATATAAACACAACTCATATGGCTAATCTAAAATTTTATAACAGCAAATGTTTATATTAAGGGAAATATATTTCGCTTATTATAATTATTATTATTATTTCGATTTTGATAATAATTACGATGATTATAATTATTATTATTATATAATCCTCGTCGATAATTATGTCCTCTATTATTGTGAAAAGAATTTCGATTTTGATGTTCATTGTTATTATTAAATCTTGATGATTGATGATCGAGATCAGAAAGAAAAGGAACTATTGGCGATTTTATAGCTGAATTATTATTAGGATTTATTGCTGTCGTAATTGGTATTGATGGTGATGGATTAAATATAGCCGATGATGATTGAATAATTGAATTATCTAGGAAATTTTAAAATCAATTGATTAATTAATTTATAAAAATAAGAATATTTACTGAAAGGTGTTGGTGTTGTACTAAAAGGAATAACATTAGCTAATAATTGATTAATAGTAAAATTCGTAGGAATTGTTAGATTGACATTCACCGGAGGATTCGACACAAGATTAGCTGTCGAATTTGTTGGTGGTACTACAAAAAACATCAAGAATTTATTGAAATCTTCTAACAAAAACAAAGATTATTGTCTTACTATTTATTGTATTAGTTTCATTTGGTTGTGGAGTATTGAGTAAAGAAGAAAGAAAATTTTGTATTGATGCTAACGGTGGATTTGTTGATGTTATAGTAGTCGATGGATTATTTTGTGTATTCACTGTTAATGATGAAAGATTATTTGCAGTTACAGTTGCTGAATTTTCTTTTGCTTGTGCAAGAATTCGAGCAACCTCAGGTGATATAATATCCAATGATGATGACGAAAGATTTGATGTTGGACTAGTTGAAACTAAAGGTATATTTGTTGAAGTTGAATTATTATTATTTAAAGACGATACTTGATTTGATACCAACGATGCTGTATTCTAAATATATACAAATAAATATATTAAAAAATCTTTAAAAAAAAAGTCAAAATATTTTCAATGTAATCGCTTAGACGAGAAAATTTTTGAAATATGATTGAATTTTTTTTTTTCTTAAAGAATAAAAAGCTTTCGAAATTAGATCGAATATAGTATAGAATTATTCTGAAGCTGTACAAAACGACAATTTGTGAAAGTAATACTTTGTATATGAAGAATATCTGTGCGAGAAGGGCAAGGTCTGAATTTTTCATATTATAATAAAACATTTTGTGTTGGACAAAAGATTTTGTTTAAATAACGGAGATGTGGAGTAATCGAAACGTACTACTATGAAAGAATAATAGGCTGTGCGTCAACAACTCTTCCCAAAAAGAAATATATATATGTTCAAAAAAAAATGATATTATCTATAGATCTTTGATAAAAATTCAAAAACTTGAATATCGCTTTACTTAAAAACTGTTTGTTATATAGTTATAATGATTGTTGACGTCGACACAGTAATCTATAATCATTAAATGATAATCGACATTCGAATACAAACATGTTTTATATTGCACAATGTTCACGATTTTGATCTTTATTTATATGTATACAAAGGGGTGTAAAAATGATTATGATGATTAGCTTATAAATGTTTATATCTATCGAGAATTTTATAATACATGGCATAAACTGCAAATCGATAAGATTTTTATTTTTATGTTTAAATAAAATTAATATGCAAATGTTTGAAACATTTTTCGTATTTATTACAAAGGATAAAAATAATTTTCTCGCTTTGATTATTTCATTTAATATATTTTGACATATTTTATTGTTATAATTATTATTTATTTTTATTCTTACATTATCAAGTGGAATTAACTTTGGTTCATTTGATGCACTAGTACTATTTCCAAGAAGATCACCATTTGGTTCACCTGTTCTATCAGGTAAAAATGAAGGTGTACAATGTGTTTTTAAAACATTTTTTTCACGTTCTTGTTGTGCAAGACGTTTCTGTGATTGAACTATTGTATCAGGCAATAAAATACGTATTAAAGTCGGCCATGATAGTAAATTTTGTCTATCATCATTATCAGATGAATTAATATTTTCTAGACTTTGTTGTTTACGAAGATCACGTTCCCATAATTTTTCAACTTGTGCTATGGATATATTGGCTGCACATTGACGTGCAAATGCATGCATATCTGCTACTTCTGTATCGTCTAGTTCAAAAAATAATGTTTGTACAAGAGCTTGATTTTTTTCATCTGCCCAAATGAGTTTTTTTTTTCTAATGTTTTTTAGTCCTGGTTCACTTAGATTACTTTTGATAAATACTCTATCTAGAAAAGAATAAATAATAGTAGATTTTAAAGATTAATATATAAGATCTTACCTTTACTGATATTCTCCATTTTTGGACTAACTACTACTTGATTTTCCGATACGACTGCAGAATCCTCATCGATAACTGTTGGTGGTGAATTCTAGAAAGATTAACATAATATTTCAGTTAGTTATACCGGTTCTTTCTCAAGATACATTTCACTATAGTATATCTTGAATGTGTCTATGTAACGGATTGAAAGGGAAAAACGATAGACTGGCTATAAGTTAGAAAAATAAGTTTGATTTTTCTTCAGCAGAGATCTATAAAGAAATCATACACAACATTTTCGTGTAAGAAAAAAATCGATTGATCTTTCAGTATGACATATATTGTCATTAAGAGAATAAATTTAACACTCAGAAGTAAACTTAATTTTTCATCTTTCTCACATGCTGATAATAAAAAGATCGAGATGATCTATTCTAACGAAGGAACTTATTCACCTGTTGGATGCCATTCGACTTCATATAATGACTATGACTAAGTCTTGGTAGAAGTGTAAAAAGATTAAAGAAATTCGGATCCATGACCAACGGATAAAGAATTATGGTCGTTGTTGCAATGAAATTTTTACTCACAGCATGACATTACTGAAAAATCCAAAAACAAAGACTTTTGACCTAAAATGTTGTCTGTAAGCAGATTTGATAGTCCTTAAATTGTTCGGAAAGTTTCAACGAAAACAAACATGTCTTTCTCGAGATATATCAATTTTCAAGTAGACTTGTTTACTGTGTAATCCTACGATAAATCACTGCTCTTTTAAAAATTCAGTATCTCGAGAAAGATATGTTTGTTTTCTTTAAAACTTTAGGTTAAAACTCTTTCTTTTGAGTTTGTCGGAAATCCCATGCTCTCAATAAAAATTTCATAAAAACAACCATAATTTTTTATCAGTTGACCTTGGGTTCGAACTAATCATAACCCTAATATGAGTGCGAACATCGTTTAACAGTTGAATATTTTCCTTCGAAAGAACGATGTAATCTCCTAAGGAATAGTAATATAAAAATAAATAAATATTTGCAAATTTAATTTACTCTCAAGACATTTTTGCAAGTCATTTTCGTTCCGTTCACTCTTTTATGTCTTTTTTTAAATGTTTTTGTTTTCATTATAGATTCAGTTTTTTTTTCCTACACTATTCTATAAAAATTATATCGCATATATGAATGAGAATTGAATTCAACATAGAATACAGATAATCCTCTTCATATCATATTACAAAAATTATTAAATTCAATGATGCATCATATTTTATTAATATGATAACATTTAAAGTTTTTTCTATTTTAATAAAGTCGTAGATTATCCTTACCTTAGTATTTTCCATTGTATTTATTCTCATATCAACATCAGCTGAAAAATTTTCTATGATGTCGTTCGATTTCAATCGTTTGTGTTCTTTATATTGACTTAAAGAAAGTTTTCTTTTTCCTTGTGGAGAATTAAATTCATCATTCGATTTATTAATTGATAAGGAATTTCTTTCTCTATTTGATATTGGTGGTGAAGTACACGTACTTGTTTCCATTTTCATTTCTGTTGGAAATAATTGATTAGCATCTGCTGATAGCATAATATTATTTGGTCTGAAATGTAACAAAGAGTCAATATAAAAACTACATAAAAAACGCGTATATCGATCGACAAAGCCCATAATAAACACAGAATTGAAAAAAGCATTGTTGATATTATATCTATCGAATCTTTCTTATTTTACATTTAACAAATAATTTATTGATCATTTTTTATTGACATAGTTCTATTCGATTTGAAAAACAATAAGAAAAAAAAAGATTTTTATTTATCTAGCAAAAATCTATCATTGATTTATTATCATACTAACTAGACAAAAATATATAAATATTATATGACCTTTGAACTCTTAAAAATTATCTATACGATCTGAGAAAAAAGAAATGCACGATTATCACTGCAAAAAAAAACCCTAGAAAATCCTATGAAAGTAAGTAGAGACTTTATCGATCGATAATATCAAATATATTTGAATATTTGCCTCGAAAAACCTACCTAGTTATTTTAGGTATACGAAATTTTGGTAGGCTTTGATTTAAACTATTATCTGTCTTAATTGCTGATTTTATTAATGATTGTTTTGAACTTGGCATACGACGCTCTACCGATTTATTTGTTATTGGTGAAATTATATTTTCTTGATTTTTATAGTCGTTACTATTTATACAACTAATATAATTCTTTTCGGTTGTTATTGATACTGCTGTTAAAGTGACTGATGTTGCCATTGTTATATTATTTGAAATAAAATCTATTCTTTTTTTTTTCGTTTAAATAAATTTGAAGAAACTCAAATTCGTTTGCTTCGATTTGAATTTTTGAATTATCAATTGGTGTTTGCAAAAAACCAAAATTATCAATCGAAGGAATGTATCTAAAAGGAAAATACAAAATCTTTGTAAATAAAATTTAAATTTCAAAAAATACATACAAAGAAAAATTTGTTTGTCAATACCGAAATGATGCGTTCGACTTTCGAAAAGGAAAATTTCTTAGATCGATCAAATGTTCTAACAACGGTTAGCAATTTTTTTTTAATATCTACAAGAAAGAAAAGAACATATTAATGAATGGTTTGAAAAAACTTTTTTTACTAGGATATTAGGAGAATATTTTTTTGCATATCAATCGTAATCAGATTGATATCTCCTTTTTTTTTAACTATATTTATATCAAGAACACGAAGCTCTATTCTTTTAAACCTTTTTTTGTTTCAAACCTAAACCTAAAATAGATATCATTCAATAAAAGTTTAGTTCTTTTGAACTATAAAACATATAAGAAGGAAATTTATATCAAATGAAAACTTATCTATTGTAGATTTTGAAACAATGATTAAATCTTTGATGTGAAGAATTTCTATTTCCATTACACCAAATCATATGCAGAAAAAGTCAACATTACCCAATTCTCCTATATTCATCACAGACAAATTCAACTTTTTCAAATGATTCAAGAATGTTTGTCTTCTAGGATGCTGGAGATAAATGTGATTTTTTCCAGGTTAGAATGCTTTATATTTTTTTTTCTCCATTCATCGTTGTACTCGAAACAACGGTGTATGAATTATTTATTACTGAATCTACTTCGATTTGCATCTAATGACAGTCCTAAATGATAAGCATATGGACACTTAACAGATCTGATTCAAAACATTTCTATGTACATTAGAGATTATAAAGTTAATATTTGCGAGCGAATTTCTGTTCTAAACCTTCAGCTTTAGTTAGAAGTAAGACAGTGTTAACTTAATCGAGAACAATTCAGCTACTTCAAGCCTTAGCTAATCATATATATTAGAGCCTAAATCATGCAAAACATTTAATATATTCATAAGACATGAATGTTTCTGATCATTATTAAAATATGAAAACCATTTGCATAAAAACGGTATAACTTCATTTAATAGTTACATATGCTTGTATTACATATTTATATTGTATTGGATTAAGAATTTCTGATTCAATTAATAAACAATTTCTTTTTCGGATAATTTCATTGATTGTAATAATAATTCACAAATATTATACACAGTAAATTATTGAACAATTTAATTACCTTTTCTTCTCAATTATGAATATTATTTCATCTTACTATTTGTAATTATTGGACGAACAGGATGGCAAAAAAAAAGTAATTTAATTGCAACGTCTGGACAAATTATTTGCTTTACTCTATATCTGGCATATTTGAAAATGTCATTCGATACTTGAAAAATAGTATAAATATTTTTGATGATAAAGAGTATTATAAAAAAAGAGCTTAACAAAATCGATTAATAACAAAAACTAAATACCATCAAACAACAACTATTGTTATTATTTCGACCGTCGTTGACAACGAATGAGGCGAAAGAAGAATAAGAAAATAACAAGAGACACCTATTTGTATTACGCCATTTAAATCAACATAGAAGAAAAAACCTACCACCCAATTTTTTTTTTGTCACTAACTGTTCTCTTTTTGCCTACAGAAAAGAAAGACAACGAATTGTTTTGAGTTTTTTCCCTTTATATGATTCATGAAAAAAAATGAGTAATCATTGTGCAATTACGTGTAAGTTTCAAGTTTTCTTTCGTCATTACAAGTTCGAAGTCAATCTAGAATCGTCTGATACAAGAGCAATTTTCCCACAACATGTTTATATACACACGAATAAGCTTTTTACTTCTGCATCAGATAAAAAATTCCCTTAATATAATAATGATGATATTTGCACAATAAATGAAGAAAACATGCAATAATAATATTCCTTTTCCACATATGTAAATCATTTTAAGAAAAAGCACAACAAGATCTTTTCAGATACCTAAATTCCATGAAACATTCATATAAAATTGATTGTATATTAATCTCCACAATTGAAATAAATATTGATATAATTTCTAAAATTTGATTTCACCATTCTAAATTCTTATATACAAAAATCAAATAAAAATTAATTTTTTATGAAAAACTTAATTCTATAAACTTAAATTACAAACGCTTCATTTCATAGCCAAACATTGAAATTGATTTTCTATAGTACAATATATTTACTTAGACATTTTTGAATATTTGACGGTTGCCACATAATAATAGATATTTCCATAATATGATATTTTTCGAAATGTATATATTATATTTGTAGGTAAACCAATAGTATCTTCTCCTAATCGATATGTATCTATTGTTTGACCTCAAAAAGTACCATTTTTTATTTTAAGTATTTCAAAATATAATGCTTCCCTTGCTCCTTGTTTTGATGATTCATTTCTTATAATACAACGTACAATACAACCTACTGGAAGTTTATCAAGAGTACGTTTCAATATCGATGGACCATTCCAATCATATAAACATCTCGCTTCTTATGGAAAGAGAACACGATGCATCTGACATGTCGTATGATTTTAACATATATGAAGCATATAGAAACATTACATATATATATATGTGACAATAAGAGAAAAAAAATGACGAAATTTCTTTTTCTCCATTGAGTCATTATATCGTAGGCTTTTTCCATTGGTTGAGTAATACTTATCAATAGATTTTTTTCTTTATAATGATAATAAAAAATATGTCTAATATTTAGAAAATTATGAAATTAAAATTTTTATTCTATTTTTATGATTAATTGTGATGTAATTTCTAACCTGAAATTCTTAAATAATATATAAAACTATGATAAGAGTCTTATTTTTAATCTACTAATTAAACAGGGAAGTCCCAAGGTCGACAGAATTTGGTAGATGGGTGATAACTGAGAAATTTATTTGGAAAGTTGTTAGTAAAATTCTTTGGATTTTATCTTGAGTGGATCGAAAGTTTTTTTGATTTTTTGAGAATTGATGAGCAATAAAACATTAAAATTTCACTGAAAGAAAATTAAAAATTTTTCAAGAGTTTGACGTCATTTCTATCCTACTCAAAACACTTCTTACATTAAAAATAATGTTGGAAAAAATTGAAAAGAATGTTCTTTTTTCTTTACGGGTAAAACATCCATCTTACACTATTATGTAAAAGAAAACATTTTTAAATAAAAAGAATATATTTCAAATTTCATAAAATTATTTCTTGTTTCTGGCTCATTGAAAGACACCCCTTTTTTTTCCTTTTGCAAAAAAAAATGTAACTCTTTCAGCGGAAGTAAAATTAATATTTCATTAACAGATTGTCAATTTCCTTGATGTATTAAAAGCACAAGAATTGTTATATATTTATTAATTTTTCTTTTTGCTACATTAATACTCATCTTTAAAAAAAAAAAAAACTTAATGTACTTGTAAAGATTTGGTATCTTATATATATATATGGAAAATGATAAGTTTAGGATTAATCAACCTTCGACTTGGAATCTTTTTCTGCTTCAACTAGTATTATAGATAATCTCAAAGCTTTTCAAAACGATTTAAGAATCACGGCAATTTTTTTTCCTTGAGAATACTTTTCACTAGTCATAAACAAAAAAAAAACAACACAATTCTTTCAATTGTTCTAACGAAAATTATCATATGTATTTTCTATTATGATAGACTTCATTTGTTAATAGAATATCTCGTGCTATTTAACATCTGGATCATACTAATAATCTTTTTTTCTTAGAGAAAAATCATGCGCAAATAATTGAAATTTCTTTTTTTTCTTCTCATTAAAACAAAAAAATTCATTTTATATATCTAAAAGCTTTTAATATTATAAAAAAAAATGTTAATCTTAAATAACTAAAACTCTTCTCACAATTGTTGTCTAATACAAGGATTTGTCAAAAACAAAAAAAAAACCTTTCATATAATCTACATAATCTTTTCTCATTATTTTTTATAATAGAAATTTTAATCATTCTATAATTTATACTTTAAAAAAAGCTAATAAATAATAATTCTATCTTAAAACAAAAAGATCTGACTATGTAAACAAAAAGAATATCACATTCCTTATAAATATCTATTCAATTTTCAATTTCATTATAAATTCTATCTTATATCATTCTATGAAATATTTATTTCGAATATATATATATTATATATACATATATTCATGTAGGAAATATTGTTTTGCTAATTATTCATTTGAGTCAACAAGACATTTTCTCGACAATGTGCATAAGAATGTTACATGATTTATTGTGAGTCATAATACATTGTATGATGGTTGTTATTAACCAATCAAATAATTTGAGATATTTTATTTATTTATTTATTTTTACATTTCTTTCGTTTTTTTTTTTAAGCTTGTCAAAAGCGAACATTGTTTTATATTTGTATTTATGTTTTATTAGAATGAGAAAGAAAGAAAAAAGGAAAGTTGAAATTTCTTCTTTTCCCCCTCGATTATATATATATGTCAATTTGTTTTACAACAAACATACTTTATTCTTTTTCTATTTGTCTTTATATACTTCTATTTGCTTTTACGCTCTTGAGTGGTTTAATTTATCGATCAATTGATGAGAAAAAAAGGCCTTATGCCTTCCCCTCTTCTCTTGTTCGTTCGCTCTAGGTAGCGTTAATTGCCGTATGTCATTGATGATGAAACTGATATGTTATCGTTTTTTTTTCTACTACTCTCTCCATCTCTCCATCTTTATCATCATCATTCGTTCTTAATAATAAGTATATAGATATATAAATATATAAATAAGCATACTAAGGCATGAAATGATTCTTTTCTCTCGTCAACTACTACTGCTGTGGATGTTATGAATGTGTAAATGCTTTTCAACGACTTCTTTCTTTTCCTTCTCTTCTCCTTTTATTTCTTACTGAGAATTATTTGCGTGGTTATATTACACGCTTTACATTCTTCATCATTTCTATCAGCGATTGGTCTTACCTTCATTTTTCTTTTTCTTTCTTTTATTCATTTCTTTGTCTACAGTTTTTTCTCTCGTCGTCTGCATCATGTTAACTGATTAGCACTTCTCTTTCCGAGCAAGAATGTATTTTGGCATGTGTCACTCGACGACAACGATGATGATGATGAGCGTAGAGTGAGAAGAAACACAACCACTCCCGACTAATGTCAACAATACAACGAAGTCACAATATATATATGCATGCATACATACATTTAATCTCATTAACTTACACATCACCAATTTTCTCTCGCTCGTATATATATTTTGTTGCTACATGAAATCACACCTGTTTTGTACCTAAAATATTCATCGATAAGAACGACAAACGTTCGCAAATGAACAAATCTATACAGGTTAATAATAAGAATGTTCAGTTTTTTATATTAATAATAGCGACTCGTATTCTTAGACATGAGAATGAACGTAAGTGTCTGTGTGTGTGAGAGATGTGCATGTGTATATGTTGTAAGTAGGAATGAACGATCGATGCGATGAAAGTGACACTTGAGAAGCTCGGCAAGCTCACGAACTGACTGACTTGATTAAATCAAAATAGAACAACGGACATATGCACACACTCAAATATATATATATATATATTATAGATCGATAGTATAAAAGAGCAAAAGAGAAAAAAAAGAATAGATTCGGACATCTATAAATGACGACAATTGTTCGTATTGTTAGTACACACATATATATGTGTATGTGTGTGAAGCAAACAACAATGAAAGAGAAAGAAAAGTAGTTGAGCAAGCTGCTCAATCTGCTTAACATTTTAACTTTTTTCACATATACACGCCATATGATTGTCTCTTTCTGCATGCATGCATGATTCCATTTGCGTGTAATATTAATAGAGCGAAGAATGAAACGAGAATGTAGTCGCACGCGTATATATATATATATATGTTGGTTTCATTCACTTTCATAGCTAGTTGAAGATTCGCACCACTACATCGTTTAACTCGTTTTTCTTTTTTTTTCTATTGTCAATCATTATCGTAGCGTCGCATTGCGCTCTCCTTCGTTTCCTACTACTACCACCATCATCATCAATCTTGGCTAGTTTCCGTTTCTCTTCTCTTCTCTTCATCTTCTGCTTCTTTGCTTCATTCATTCATTCATTCATTCATTCATTCGTGTCTTTGATGAACAGAATAGTAACAACAGCACGGTAGGAAATAGGAAGAAGGCAGAAACTCGTAGCCTCTAGACACTGTTTGCACGTCATCGACAACTCTCATCATTTTCATTTCTTTTTTGTTTCTTTCTCTCTTCACTTCTTCTTTATATATATATATATATATTAAATACATGCACGTTCTGTTCTCAAGTGGACACACACCTTGACATGATCAGTTAGGCGCAATATCGCTATATCATCGATAGATACATATACATTTACACACAAGTCAACTTAGATACACATGACAATTTGCGATGGCTATCGCATCTTCTCGCTTTTCTATCTTGTTTTTCTTTCTTGTCCTTCATCGTCTACGTCTATTTGCATGAAGATTGATGTACATACAAACGCATACACACACACATCTATATATATATACATATGTATATATATATACATCCATATTGATTATCGTCGTGCTTGTTGAGAGGATGAGATGAGATGAGAGAAAATTCTTGTTACTGTTGTTGTTGTTTCTGTTAGTTAGTAACAGCAGGCGAACATAGTTTTTATAATGAGAAGATGGGATAAATGTGTTTAGTTATTGTTATTGATCAGAATTCACCTATTTCGTTCTAATCGGAGGTTACTTGACGTAATCAAATTGCGCTTGTGTCTATATATACATATATGTTTATGTTCTTCCAATCAAGACCAAATGTCAAATAGAATAATACACATTAAAGCAACGATGTGTGCAAGAAACTTATTTGCCTACATCATTCTCCTAACTACATCTTCATCATCTCCTATTTCTCATTTTCTTGTCGGTATTCTCATCGTTGAAATGCTAATCGTTCTCTATCCCAACACATATATATATTTATATTTATATATATATATAGTCCCAGTCACACAATTATTTTGAATAAGCACGCGTAGTCGTTGTGCGCTCTCGCTTTCAATACTCTATTACTGATGCGTGTTGTCCTTTGGGCATATATGTGCAGCACGAACGACGACTTTTGATCTTTTTTGTTGTTTTCTATGCTTGTATGATGGTAGTATTACTGGCCTTTTGTCCTCTTCTTTCGCTCGGTCGCTCATTGCGACCGCGATTAATTAAGTATCTTTCCTCTCTTTCTTTCTTTGTTTCTCTATCCATGTCCATTCATCCATCTATCTATATCCCTCATGGTGTGTGTAAATTGGACACTTGTAGTCGAGGGGGAGAAAAGAAACGCATTCTCTTTTGTGCTTCGTCGACGACTAGTGTGTTTTTCTTTTCCTGTATGTGTGTAACCTTATCGTTCGCCGGCAGCTTTAGCAGCAGCAGCCACTGCCGACAAGACGGCCGCGTCAGGTCACGACAAAGACGATTATTTTCTCCCTTTCGCCTCATCGTCGTCGACGTCGTCGTCGATTCTCTTTTTCCGATGCGACGCGCGCTGCTGCTTTCTATCGTCGGCCATCACACACATATATTAATAGAAAATGATTAGAACATGTTCGTCGTTCATGCGCACACACACACATGCTGTCGTGTTGTTCTAAGATAATATATCCCTCTCTCTCTCTCTCTCTCTCTCTCTCCTTCTCTTTTCTTTTCTTTTCATACACACACTCATATGCATGCATTGACTCCTAGCAGCTAGTATTACTATTAGAGTATCTGTTCCACTACACTAGAGTTCGATTTCATAACGATTTGTCATTGTCAAGGTTTTTGTTGTCTCATTCACGTGCTATTCGATTTATTACTAGTGGTACTCTACTTTGCCTTTTTTTTTCTGTCTCTCTCACTGTCTTTTTCTTCTCCCTTCTAATTCAGTCACTCTCTTGGCGTAACATTCATCATTCATGAGAACCCGTCAAGTGCAGAGTGTCACTATTGGATGGGTTGGTGGATTTGCATGTTTTCTGTTTATTCTCTTCCACTCTATTTTAGACTGCTACATTAAATCATGGCAACATGTCGATCGTCGTCATCATCGTGTTTGTTTAATTTCTTTTGGTAGTAGTCAAAAAAAAGAAAAAAGAAGAACGAAGTATTCATTTATACATTTACTCTTAAATTTCATTCGTACATATATATATACATATTTAGCTCCTTTTTGTTTTTTTTGTCATTCACTTCTTAGCCTTCAATTCCATTTTGCCTACTTTTTTTTTCTATATGGTGATGTTTGTGAATGTTAAAATTGTCACTTTTTGTTTCTGTTGTTTTTCCTTTTCGTGTTGTTAATTCAACATCGCCATCGTGCGCATTTGAATAGTTAAAGCCGCCAAAATTCACTCACACACGAATCTCAAACTTGGTAGTAGCAGCTTGCAGCAATCATCGATTCATACATCGAAGTTGCACGACGACAATTTGTCAAATTATAATAGTAGTAAAAAGAAAAAGAAGAGTAGTAGCGGAACCGTTGCCGGTTCACTTAATACCGGTAATATAAATACTGGTGTACAAGATAAAACAACTGGAAACATGTTTCCTGGACGTAGTGGCCCACAGGTATGACATAAAAAAAAATTTTTTTTGCTAATATTTGTAAAAAACTTTTATCCAGGGTACTTCTCAAGTGGACTTTAGCATTATTGAATATTGCGATCGTTTAAAAAAAGAATTTAGTGTATTACAACAACAGTGTCAAAGGTAAAATAACAAAAGAAAATTAATTTCAAATTGAAATTGTATATTAATTTTTTTAGTTTAAAATTTGACTGTGAAAAATTAGCACAAGAAAAAATAGAAGTTCATCGTCAATATGTTATGGTAAAAATTGAAATATATATAAAAGAAAGTAGATTAGATTTAAGGAAATTTTTCATTTTTAGTATTATGAAATGTCCTATGGACTTAATGTTGAAATGCATAGACAATCAGAATTAGCTAAACGATATTTAGCTATATGTCATCAAATAATTCCATGTTTATCGCAAGAAGTAAATATTAATTCTCGATGAACGAAGAAAAGAAGAAAAATGCTTGTTTTTTCTTCATTTTAGCAACAAAATCAGGTAGCAGCAACACTTGAACGTGCTAAACAAGTCACTGTTGCAGAATTAAATGCTATCATTGGGGTATATACATATATATTTATTTCGAACGAGAGAAGAAGAAACATAAAATTTATTATATTTTAGCAACAAATGCATGGTCAAGGTGCTGCTTTTCCTCATGGACATAACCAATCACCTCATTTAGCAGCATTGACTGCTGCACATGCAGCATCTCCTTTTGGTTTGCCTGGTGCAGCCGGACTTCCTCCTGGTCTTCTTGCTTTACAAGGTGCTGCAGCTGCTGCACAACAAGCATATCTCAAAGATGAGAAAGGTTTGTAAATGTTTAATTAATTGAATTTTTTGTTTTCATTATATATATATATTTATGTTAGATAATCTAGAACGTGCAGAAAAAGCAGCAGCAGCAGCAGCTGTAGCTGCAGCAGCCATGGCCGCAGCATCATCACATAAAGTATGATATTTGAAATAAATATTAAATATTGACTCGAATGTTAAAATTTTTTAGCGAAGTTCAAATTCTCCTCATCATATGACAGATAAATATCGTGGTCATAGTCGTTCACCACTTGAATCTAATGAATCAAAGAAACTTAAACGAGATGAAGTATGTAAAAAAAAAGAAGTAAAATCGACTTCTCTTAATAAAATCGTTTTTCTAGGATAGTGATGGTGAAAAAAGTGATGGTGATTTAGTTGTTGATGATCCAAACGAAGTAAATATGAGTAGAAATTAATGAATAGAGAAACATAATAGAATATATTTAGAATGATAAACAAATGATGAATGGTTCTCGTTCACCACTTGAAAATGGTGATGCACTAAAACTAAATTCAGCATCACGTCATAAACAATTACATAATGATGATAGTAGTCGAAGTCCACATAGTGATAATGGTTCATCTCGTAGTACACCTTCACAGAAGGTATGTTCTTTGTATATATAAAAAATATATATTATATAAATTTTTTTTTTTCATAGGGTAGTGAAAAAAGTGGTTCAGCGCCAATAACAACAACAGGAACGAATACATCATCGAGTGGCAACGGTGGAAATTCAATGAACAAGACAAGCTCGCGTAGTAGCAGCAACAGTGGTGTTCGTCATTCTCCGAAACTTCCTCGTATGTCATCACGTCCTCCTTTTGCCGAATCTGTTTCTTAATAAAAATGATCAGTGTGTGTGTGTATTCAGCAGCTGCTATGTTTGGTCCATATGGCGCATTCATTCCGGAAAATTTTGCTGCATTTGCTGCTGGTCTAAATCCAACATCTGTTCTCAATGCAGCAGCATTCGCCGCTAGTGGTACAAGCAATAATCCAATGAATTTAAGTTCGACGAACAATTTTTCATCACGATCATTACATCCATCAACAAATTTCAATGATCTTTATACAGCTATGCGTATTCCTCAACAACAAAATCCTCTACTAGCAATAACATCAACAAATGCTGCAGCAAGTGGAAATATAATTGAACGTAATGGAATGAAACAACATTATTCATTTCATTGCGATTCATTTGATCCATCACCACCATCATCATTATTACAACCATATACATTTCCTTCAGATGCATTTGATAGTTTAGGTTGTCCACGTCGTACACGAGTCTTAAGTAGTTTATTACATGGTGATGTTGTTTGTGCAGTAACAATATCAGATCAAAATAAACATATATATACAGGTGGAAAAGGTTGTGTAAAAATCTGGGATTTGAAAGAAAGTATATATAATAATACAAATTCAAATGGTAGAAATTCTCCATTAACAATAAGTAAACCAATTGGTCAATTTGAATGTTTGGTAAAGATTTTTTTAAAAAAATGTATTTTTTTGATTTCATAGAAAAAACTTTGTTTTTGTAGAGTCGAGATGCTTATATACGTTCTGTTAAACTTTTACCAGATGGTCGAACATTAGTTGTTGGTGGTGAAGCATCAAATATTTCAATATGGGATCTTAATTTAACTCCATCAACACCAAATGGATCTGCATTAGGACGCGATGGTAGTAATTCAAATTCTTCAACATCGTCAAATAGTTCAACATATTCACCTGTTATAAAACTTAAAGGAGAATTACAATCAAAAGCAGCTGCTTGTTATGCATTAGCTATATCAACAGATGGTAAACTTTGTTTTAGCTGTTGTTCAGATGGAAGTGTACTTGTTTGGGATATACAAAATCAAACAATTGTTCGGTAAAATTAAATTTAAACTTTTTATTTTTATCTTAATCTTAAAAATTGCCATTTATTTAAAGACAATTTCAAGGTCATAGTGATGGTGCAAGTTGTATTGATCTAACACCTGATGGTTTACGTGTTTGGACAGGTGGTCTGGATAATACTGTACGTTGTTGGGATATACGTGAAGGTCGACAATTACAACAATATGAGTTTGATTCACAAATATTTTCACTTGGTTATTGTCCAACAGGTGGTGATTGGCTAGCTGTTGGTATGGAACAAAGTTTAATTGATATATTAAATGTATCATCAACTAAACCTGATAAATATCGTTTAACATTACATGAAAGTTGTGTATTAGCATTAAAATTTGCTCGATCAGGTAAATGGTTTGTATCAACAAGTAAAGATAATCAATTAACAGGATGGAAAACACCATATGGTGCAAAATTATTTGAAGTATGTTTTCTTTTGTTTTTCTTTAAATTGTAAAATTAAACTTTGATTCTTTTTTCTTTTGTTTAGAACAAAGAATGTTCGTCTGTATTAAGCTGCGATGTATCACAAGATGATAATTTCATCGTGACTGGTTCCGGTGATAAAAAAGCGACTTTATATGAAGTTATTTATGAACGATAAGAATGAGTTGTCTGAATACACACACACACACGTTCGGATTTAAAAGAAAACATTTTCTGCATAGGATCAATATATTTCCTTTTTTTTTCTGTTTAAAATTCTGTTTCTGTAGATCTGCATTATATTCATTCGCTCTTTGTCACTTGTTTTCTGTTTGCTTTCATATGCGCGCCTATACAGTGAGTTTATCTTCTCTCTATTGTCGCGGGTCAGATATTTCGATTTATTTCTTGTGACCTATATTTGTCACTATTATATCCTTTACATATATATATATGTGTATGTGTGTGTGTGTGGATCAATATTTGCCTATCTTGCTGTATTTGTATATAGAAAATTTTTCTTCACATGTTTGTATTGTGCATGTGTATAAATCTTCTTTTCCTTTCTTTTTCTCTCGTTTTTTTTGTTTGCTTGGGTTATATGAAGGTTTGAAAAGAAAAAAAAAATCTGATGCGTATAATTGTGTTTTGTCTTTTTTTTCTTTCTTCTCACTTTTGGTGTTCGTAATTTATCTATACATATATATATAAGAAAGAAATATCTGATCTGGCGAAAAATGAAAATTTATGTTGTATTTTTTGAGATAAATTGGATAATGACCGATATGAATTAAGAAACATCATGGAACTTTTTTTTTAATAAAGAGATTCATTGATAAAATGTTTTATTAAAATCATTTTTGTCGGTTAGTTTAATCTAAGAGAGGAAATAATTCGGTTTTATTGCACTACTCTTGCAAGATTAGTAATGACTATTAGGGGTAATTAGTTGGAATTGATTTTAATTCTTGCCAAGAGGCTAAATCATTTTTTCTTTATCTCGAAGTATAATGAATGAAAGTACGAAGAAAATTTTGTCATCTGTTTCAATCATAATTCCAATTATCATATTCATGCTGATCGCAAGTTTCATTGATCGATATATAAATGAAAGAACTTTGATTGAATCCTTTAAATACGAGATTATTTTAAAAAATTTCATATGAACCATCTTCAGATTTGCTGCTAGTTTGTAAATTCATTATGTATTTGGTGATATTAGTCTTAGGTTTTCAGTTAAATACGGTCATGTTTCATGAATAAAGAGTAGGTCGAGATACCATTTTATTTCCTGGGTTTTGTTTTCGAGAAATGATATGAAACTCAATGATATTCTAACTTATTGAATGATACAATGATTGTTTCAAGTCTTAAGAGACAATCAATAATCATAAGTAAACGTGTAGCTAATCTTAACTGCACAAATATCTATGCAATCGATCTCACTGAATAATCAATAAGTTATATTCATAGAAGCTATTTAGAAGACTTGACTTCATTTCGTCTGCACTTGAAGAGTTAAAAAGAAATTCTTAAGACGGTGCGAAGCATAACATTCATGTAGTCCTTCGTATACGCTTGGGTCTTCATACTGTATGTATTTTTCGCTGTAACAAAATCTGTACTTTGTGTCGCGACGGTCTAAAGAACGACAAGTCATTAGAAATTCATTCGAACTTTATCATAGAGATCGATGTCTCGAGATGATCCAAATGATTTCGAATTCTCAATGTGAGTTTTCGTTCATCTTCAGAAAATTTAAATGTGGTGAGATAGTCTTCAAAAGCGTTAAGTTGCCGTTTTCCGTTGAGATGATCTCGATGGCGGAAAACCATAAAATACTTATTCTAACGTGATATGAATGTGTCGAGATTCAACCAATATCATATTTTGTAAACCTTCCAGCGTTGTTCTCTTCGCTAACAAAAATAATGTTTCAAAAAGACAAAATTTTCAGAACTTGGTCTTTTTTTGTTTTGTTTTGAGATAATTAAAAGATGAATAAACCAAAAAAGTTTGACTCCACCCTAATTTCTCATGCATAAAACATCTGTGAATGCAGCTAATTATAAATAATGAACGATACAGATAATTAAACGACCAATCAATAGCGTTTCTTATAAATATGTTGATACGCTCTAATAGAGTTCTCATAATGATGAATTTTGTCATGCCTGTCTTTCAATTACTTTTTCACTTCAATCAGCTGATCAATGGAAACGGGAATTGTAGAATTCACAGATGTAGAAAAAACGCTAAATTCAGTAAAATGTAAATATCATTTCGAACAAAACGATTTCTGATGAATCATAAAGCGATGATTCATGTTTTATGAGAAGTCTCTTTTTCTAGATACTCGACATTTGTGCTTCGCACCGCATTTCATATTCAAAGGAAACTCTAGTATCATCTAGTTTGTTTTTGTCTTTTATTTATATGGTTGGTACGTCTATATAATTGTTAGAGTGTTTTTATCTAAAAAAAACCAAGGAGTAGACCAATTAAAAGTTAGATTCACTTTAACAATCCCTAATGGCAACCGATGATATGAGAAGAATTTTTCTAAAGTTGCTATTGGTTCTAGAACAATTGATGTTGTTGTCCATGAAATTTTTCAATGTATTGTTCATGTTAAACGAAGTGAATTTAAAGATACTTCAGCAACTTTTCTTAGTCGATTTCAAAAATATTCATTAAGTGTTAATGATTTTTATCGTATTCGATTACAAAAAACTCCTAAATGAACAAAATATTTTTAAAGATGTTCAAGAGAAAGCATAATCATTTATTCAACATTTTGGATGAGAACATTGCTATGATTTAAATGAAAGTACTTCTTATTCATGTCATCTATCATTAATTCAAGTTAATGATAATGGAGATTATAATGTGTTAAATGTATATCAATATTATACACAGTTAACTCATAAATTAAAATCATTTATTGGATAAAGCCCTACTGATATTCAGCAATATCTTCTTCGATCACTACTATCAAAATTAATTCAACTTTTTTCACCTGGATCAATTAATTATATTGAAATTATTCGTATTTGAAGAAAAAGTTGAACAACGGTTATATAATTTATGTTTGCAACCACAAGAACATTTCTATATTAAAGTTGTTATTTCACAATTAATTTCAGATCCATTGATTAATGTTGATAATAAAAATTTATTGTTATCAGAAAATACAGAACAACAACAAATATCGAATAATACCAACATTACAACAAAAATTATCATTTTTACGAGAACATCCTCTTATGTTGTTGATTTAAATCAATCATCAAAAAAATGAGTTATTTAATAATGATAATAACGATCACATTAGTAGCAACAATGAGAAGATTGAAATTTTAAATTTGATAAGTCTCAATTAGCGGCAATCGAAAACTTCATTCATTCAGAACGAAAAGAAAAAGCAAATTCTCACTTCTCATCTTTTATTCTCTTTATCTACTTATTTTCATTCTCGTTTCAAACACCTACGTTTCTGAATACTAGCCAACATCCCATTACATAGCTGATATTTTTAGTCATAGTTGCGATTTTATTTAACTAGTATTGATATAATATATTAGGTATTTGCAGTATGATGGCAGTAAGATAGATGTATTACAAAGCCACTAATGCTAAAAACGTCTTCTAATTGTTGGAAATATAGCTCAAAAAGGAAATGAGACCAATAAATAATGACTATTAAATACGAAAAATAGTCTTGGTAAGACGATATGATGAATTATTATGATATTCGGAAAAAAAGCACAGTTCATTTCTTATCATTTTTAGCAATAATTCTATCTATATGTAACCATTTATTAGACTTTTTTAACGAGTAAATAGAATTTCAGTGATTTTTTTCGATAGTTTGTCTGTGTGAAAGGAATATACATAAATATAGCTCATTCTTAAATATTATGTTAAAAACATTCTATGGATATGTTCAAAAACTGAACATGACAACGAAGAAAGGACTTCACATCGAGTTTTATAAAAGGTGCTATATTAATTTAAAATCGTGTCATAAACGGATAGTCATATCTGATGAAACTATTGATTACTACAGAGTCATCCTTTACTATTCATTTACTCTAAATACGAACCATTATGACTGATCATATTATTTAGATACATAAATGAATTTAAAATCTTATTTATCATTCACTCACACTTTAAAAGTTAATCTCAGTCATGTAGAATTCATTCGTAGTGTCTTAGAGTCCGGGTTGCTAGATTGAAAAGTTGTAAATCTAAAGAAATCGGAAAAATCCAAATTTTTTTCAAACTATTTCGAAAAAATTCCGAAGACATTTTTTTGACCTTTAAATGCACACATCGCCATTTTTTTTAAAATTTTTTCTTCTATCATCATTTTGTGTGAAAGCTGTTACTAATATAGTTTTTTTCTCTACTTTAATCTCATTTATATTAACATTCGAACCCTGAAATTCATCATTCATGGCTGAATCTAATTCAGTTTAACATGTGAGAATTATGATGTGGAAAAGCGCTCCTTCTGAAACTTAGAACTCAGATCACGTTGAAGAAATAGGTTATTCAAATGGCTTTGGTCACGATACAAGATGTCTCGTTCAGTTCGGAAAGGCTTTATATTCATGAAAGCGTGTACTTTCAGTGATCTTAAAACTCGGTGCTATTTAATCATTACAATAGAACAACGATGGTGCATTAATTGTCGGTAAAAATTAAATTAGAACTTATAATAAAACTCATAAAAGCTTGAATTTAGAAAAATATTATGTTTCGGAAAACTTCAGGAAAAACTTAAAATTCGGAATTTTTTCTGCCATGTCGGAAGATCGGGCAACACGGATTCGAATCATTATTTAGATTCTTTCTAACGCATATGGCAGCGAAAAAAATTGAAAACAAACCCCTTGTTGAACAATTATAGTACTCACTGTATATGTAATGCAAATCATGATATCTGATGTCAGATTATAAGAGTATACTGCTGAAATCTTAACTTATCAGTGTAATTTAAATCAAAGCTAATAAATTCTATCCAAATCGTTTTACTTAAATATTCATTGAAATATTTTCTCTGCTTAAAATTATCAAAAATAAAGTCTCAAAATGTTTCTACTAATAATCTAATTATTTATTAACAAAAACGTAAATCATCTCATAGTTTGTTTTTTTTTTCAGTTTTTC